TATTAGGGTTTGCACATATTCAGGTCGACATACCTCAATATGTGCATGCATGGCTCTAACGTCCTCAGTCAGAGGGAGCAGGTCCGGAGTGTTCCACTTGGCTTGCCGGAGGGTCTGTAGGGCAGCAGAAGAAACACAGACGTCCCACCTCTTCTCAAAAAGCAGCCGGCTTCGTTGGAGGTTTTTAATAAATAGTTCATCAACACAATGCTCCATTTTTGAGTCACATTCAAGAATATCTGCTAGCTTTCTGAGGCTATGGCCGAGTTTGAGGGCCAAGGATGGAGTCTTGTATTGATTTGTTTCCTCATCATATCCAGCCACAGACCTGACTGCATCAATCACATGGTTAAAGTTGGAAGGAATAAAGAAATCCTTAATTGTTTTCAGTTTCCCTGCGGTTTTTGCTTCGTTAATTAACCTACCGACTTCTCTCATTTTCTGCCTAATGTAATCATGCTTAGTCTTATCATGCCCGTGTTTTAAGTACAGGTGCTCTCCGAGTCTCAGAATCCCCTTTTCTGCTTTGACAACACCCGTGACCTCATCCTGATGCATTGCCCAAATTAAAGAGCACAGCTTTTTGCTGATGCCCTCCGGTACAGGCTGGGCTAGGGAGCAGAGGGACTGGACCCTACTTCTACCTGGTTTAGCCTGGGCATCTTTCTGTGAAAGCCGGCACCTGGCCACATGCCTCCACAGCGACTTTCGCTTAAGCAATGCCCCACAGTCTATACAGTGCAAAAACTCACTGGATTTAACTGGGGAATTTGGCTGTTTAGCTGGGACTAAAGTTCCAATGCCGGCCTTTAAAACCTCAAAATTGTGCTCACGGTTTCCACTATTCCTGATCAAATCAAACTGAAGTTTACGTGCTTTAGATTTCACAGGTAGAGCCAATGCTCTGGCTACGTCACTTTCATTTCCATGTTTTCTAGTCAAATGACGGGACATTTTGTGGCAGGACATTGAACAGTAGAGGCAGAAGTGTCTCTTGCTGTAAACTCGCCCCCCATTTTTCTTCTTTTGCAGCTGCATGATAACAATCTTATTTGCCTTTGGTTCGTCACTTTCCGAGTCTTGAAGAAAAGTGTTTTTGATTTTTCTTTTTCCATACTTTTTTACAGGTTTCTTCTTGACAGTTAAATCGTCAGAATCTGAGTCGACTTCATCAATTAGGGACTCTTGACTAAGCTGCACAAACAACAAATAATTTGTAATCATTCTATATAACAATTTGAAGTCATGACTTGTAGTCAGCACTTACCAGTGGTTTGTAAGCGTGCGCTTCAGTGTGCTGCTCTGTGATTGGCTGCAGCCTAATGAACCACACACTTGCACCTTTTTCTAGCCTGACACCTGATTTCCTCTGTTGTGCTGCTCCATGATTGGCTCCAGCCTGCTGGACTGAAATTGCCCCAGTGTGCCCCTCCTTGATATCCCGCAACCCACCACCAGGGTTCCGACACATAACACACTTTTTTCAGGAAAGTAAACCTCCAGGGGTCCTTTCCATATTTTTACAGAGACTGCATAAGGACCGTTAGAAAAGCATTACCCATTGATTATTAAGCTTGGACCAGTGGGGTCCGGTGTTCGGGCCCCACCACGTAAAACCAGTCCCCATGACGTGAGTGGAATCTCAGGTTATGGAACCCACCAGGAGTTGAAAACAAGTGCACCCTCTCTCTCCCTCACACACACACAGACACACACACACACACACACCCTCTCTCTCCCTCACACACACACAGACACAAACACACACACACACACACACACCCTCTCTCTCCCTCACACTCACACACACACACACACACTCTCTCTCCCTCACACAAACACACACACACACACCCTCTCTCTCCCTCACACACAGACACAAACACACACACACACACACACACCCTCTCTCTCCCTCACACACACACAGACACACACACACACACATGTAGAGAGACAGTGCAGTCTGACAGAGCTCTCCTCAGTTGCTGCTGATGATGCGCATGGATTACTTTCCTGTGACATTTTCTTCTAAAGGATTTCAGTGGTTTCCAGATGAGTCCAGATGAGTCCAGATGAGTCCAGATGTGTCCAGATGAGTCCAGATGTGTCCAGATGAGTCCAGATGAGTCCAGATGAGTCCAGATGTGTCCAGATGAGTCCAGATGTGTCCAGATGTGTCCAGATGAGTCCAGATGAGTCCAGATGAGTCCAGATGAGTCCAGATGTGTCCAGATGAGTCCAGATGTGTCCAGATGAGTCCCTGCTTCTCTGAGTAACTCTTCTGGCGCCTGTTCCATGTGGACTTTTGTTTGTTGCTTTGTTTCTGTCTCACTCTCCGCTCGGAGCCAAACCCAGGTCCGTGTTGCAGATGTGTATTAGTGATCGATGGAGATAGTTTTTCTTATTTGCTTTTTGAACACATGTCGTCAGAATCTAAGAGGAGATTAGATCATATTTTTACACGACGTTTTGAATCTATTTTGAAACATTTTACCTGGACTGACTTTTTTACATGCTGTACATTTCTATTGGCCATGGAGGGCTGCATTATTGCATTAAAATAACATCTTCCTTTTATGAGAAAGCACATAAGACAGAGCCTGAGAGTCACAATCTGCCTCTTTAGGCTGAGAGCTGATTGGCTGAAGGGGGGGGTCCTCTCTTTGATCTAAAGATGCGACAGAGAGAAGTGAAGCAACTGTTTTAGAGCCAGCACTAGAGACATGGGTTTGATTTCATCGCTCCATTTTTGTAGCCTGAAAATTAGGCGCCCGAGCTTTAATACAGGTCGGAAGAGGTTTTTTTATACACACAACGTTTGACTGAATTTACAAATATATAAGAACAAAAGTCAGGTTTCTCAGCTTTCAGACTTGAGGATGGAGAACTCGTCACTGAGGACTACGAACCTGAGTGTGTGGTCGGACCTGGAAGTGGGGGAGGCGGGGGAGGCGGGGGTCTCTGGGGTGAGGGTCCTGGTGGGCTGCGTGCTCTTCCTCCTCATCGTCTCCACGCTCCTGGGGAACACGCTGGTCTGCGCCGCCGTGGTCAAGTTCCGCCACCTTCGCTCCAAAGTCACCAACTTCTTTGTGATCTCGCTGGCCGTGAGCGACCTGTTCGTGGCCGTGCTGGTCATGCCCTGGGAGGCCATCACTGAGGTACGAGTGGAGTGACGTGTTGTTAAGTAAGGCATGTGCTATAACGTGCTTGTTTCTGTAATGCTAGCCTGGTCTTACCATACCATCGTACTCATTTCATTTTGTACTAAGGTCTAGATTTGCTCTATTCAGGTGGGAGGGGTTAACTCCTTTGGCAGATTGAAACTATTGGATCTGAGTTTATGTAATGCACCGAGTGAGTAGCTAGCATTTAGCCTAGCTTTAGCCATGTCCTTTGCCGCTAACGGAGCCCGTGGGGAGTAGAGCCACAACGTCTTTGCTTCAATGACATTTACTAAACATTCCTCTTGCTCCGGCTTTAAAGTTCTTGATATTTGGATTGAACCAGAACAGATTATTTTACTATCGCATTCTCCGACAAACTACAACCAGCAAATTCAGCACAAACTCTTGACGTCACCGACACCGACCTACAACACCCGCCTCCCCCGCTCTCTGATTGGTCGGAGAGGATTCAACCGAGGAAACGGCAGCCACTAGGATCAGACCCAGACGTACATGTAGGAAATGACCATGGACCAGAGTTTACACATGGTAAGACCAGACGTACATGTAGGAGATGATCATGGACCAGAGTTTACACATGGTAAGACCAGACGTACATGTAGGAGATGATCATGGACCAGAGTTTACACATGGTAAGACCAGACGTACATGTAGGAGATGATCATGGACCAGAGTTTACACATGGTAAGACCAGACGTACATGTAGGAGATGACCATGGACCAGAGTTTACACATGGTAAGACCAGACGTACATGTAGGAGATGACCATAGACCAGAGTTTACACATGGTAAGACCAGACGTACATGTAGGAAATGATCATGGACCAGAGTTTACACATGGTAAGACCAGACGTACATGTAGGAAATGATCATGGACCAGAGTTTACACATGGTAAGACCAGACGTACATGTAGGAGATGATCATGGACCAGAGTTTACACATGGTAAGACCAGACGTACATGTAGGAAATGATCATGGACCAGAGTTTACACATGGTAAGACCAGACGTACATGTAGGAAATGATCATGGACCAGAGTTTACACATGGTAAGACCAGACGTACATGTAGGAAATGATCATGGACCAGAGTTTACACATGGTAAGACCAGACGTACATGTAGGAGATGATCATGGACCAGAGTTTACACATGGTAAGACCAGACGTACATGTAGGAAATGATCATGGACCAGAGTTTACACATGGTAAGACCAGACGTACATGTAGGAAATGATCATGGACCAGAGTTTACACATGGTAAGACCAGACGTACATGTAGGAAATGATCATGGACCAGAGTTTACACATGGTAAGACCAGACGTACATGTAGGAAATGATCATGGACCAGAGTTTACACATGGTAAGACCAGACGTACATGTAGGAAATGATCATGGACCAGAGTTTACACATGGTAAGACCAACGTACATGTAGGAGATGATCATGGAGTTTACACATGGTAAGACCAGACGTACATGTAGGAAATGATCATGGACCAGAGTTTACACATGGTAAGACCAGACGTACATGTAGGAAATGATCATGGACCAGAGTTTACACATGGTAAGACCAGACGTACATGTAGGAAATGATCATGGACCAGAGTTTACACATGGTAAGACCAGACGTACATGAAGGAGATGATCATGGACCAGAGTTTACACATGGTAAGACCAGACGTACATGTAGGAAATGATCATGGACCAGAGTTTACACATGGTAAGACCAGACGTACATGTAGGAAATGATCATGGACCAGAGTTTACACATGGTAAGACCAGACGTACATGTAGGAAATGATCATGGACCAGAGTTTACACATGGTAAGACCAGACGTACATGTAGGAGATGATCATGGACCAGAGTTTACACATGGTAAGACCAGACGTACATGTAGGAAATGATCATGGACCAGAGTTTACACATGGTAAGACCAGACGTACATGTAGGAGATGATCATGGACCAGAGTTTACACATGGTAAGACCAGGTTCCTGTAACGCAGTAATGTAAGACATTTACATAAACCTGTTAATATTTTATAAGATAGAGTTTATTGATCTCTGATGGAGAAATGTACATGTCACATCTGGCATTGATAGAAACACTTTGTGCAAAAGACAGAAGTGTGAAACATGTTAAAGGCAAAAGATATGGTCTGTGCAGGATATATTATGTACAATAAAAGTGGCAATTAAAGAAACAGTGTCAATAGTAGTGCAGGTTTTTAGTCCGAGTGCAAGTGACTTAAAGTGACTTGTTGTACAGTCTGACAGCGGTGTCTGCTCCTTCTTCCACTGAAGGAGCTCCTCAGCTCCTCCTCAGTCCTGTTCAGTGGGAGGTGTTGTTCATGATGGAGGTGGCTTTGACTAGCACCTCCTGTCCCTCACCTCCTCCACAGAGTCCAGGCCCAGGGCCTCCTGTCCCTCACCTCCTCCACAGAGTCCAGGGGCCTCCTGTCCCTCACCTCCTCCACAGAGTCCAGGGGCCTCCTGTCCCTCACCTCCTCCACAGAGTCCAGGCCCAGGGCCTCCTGTCCCTCACCTCCTCCACAGAGTCCAGGGGCCTCCTGTCCCTCACCTCCTCCACAGAGTCCAGGGGCCTCCTGTCCCTCACCTCCTCCACAGAGTCCAGGGGCCTCCTGTCCCTCACCTCCTCCACAGAGTCCAGGCCCAGGGCCTCCTGTCCCTCACCTCCTCCACAGAGTCCAGGGGCCTCCTGTCCCGCTCTGTGCTGCCCGGGGCCCAGCACACGGCAGCATAGTATATGGCAGAGGCCTGCTCACTCCGAAGGACCTCAGCCTCCTCAGAAGGACCTCAGCCTCCTCAGAAAGACCTCAGCTTCCTCCGAAGGACCTCAGTCTCCTCAGAAGGACCTCAGTCTCCTCAGAAGGACCTCAGCCTCCTCAGAAGGACCTCAGCCTCCTCAGAAGGACCTCAGCCTCCTCAGAAGGACCTCAGCCTCCTCAGAAGGACCTCAGCCTCCTCAGAAGGACCTCAGCCTCCTCAGAAGGACCTCAGCCTCCTCAGAAGGACCTCAGCCTCCTCAGAAGGACCTCAGCCTCCTCAGAAGGACCTCAGCCTCCTCAGAAGGACCTCAGCCTCCTCAGAAGGACCTCAGTCTCCTCAGAAGGACCTCAGCCTCCTCAGAAGGACCTCAGTCTCCTCAGAAGGACCTCAGCCTCCTCAGAAGGACCTCAGTCTCCTCAGAAGGACCTCAGCCTCCTCAGAAAGACCTCAGCCTCCTCAGAAGGACCTCAGCCTCCTCTGAAGGACCTCAGCCTCCTCAGAAGGACCTCAGCCTCCTCAGAAGGAAGAGGCAACTTTGGCCCTTCTTGTACAGGGCGTTGACCAGTCAATTTTATTGTTGTGAGCACAGGTACTTGAAGCTGTCCACCAGCTCAATGTCCTCCCCCTGGATGTTCAGCAGTGTGTGGGAAAGTGGTTTTCTCCTGAAGTCCATGATCATCTCCTTGGTCTTACTGGTGTTCAAGCACAGGTACCATCTCCTTGGTCTTACTGGTGTTCAAGCACAGGTACCATCTCCTTGGTCTTACTGGTGTTAGCACAGGTACCATCTCCTTGGTCTTACTGGTGTCAGCACAGGTACCATCTCCTTGGTCTTACTGGTGTTAGCACAGGTACCATCTCCTTGGTCTTACTGGTGTCTGACCAGAGGACCGGAGAGGTTGGACTTGCGCCACTTCCGCTCGCCACTTCCGGGCCCCTCCGGCACTTTCTCTTTTGTGCCCTGACCGAGTCTGCTTTAGCCCACGGCGCCTTCTGCTTATTTTTCACTATTTTAACCTTCACAGGAGCGATGGGGTCCAGAACGTTCAAAAAACTAGAGGTGACAGAGTTAAACCGTTCATCTACAGTAGAATACGATGCATTCTCAAAGTTTATCATTCCCATAAATAGTTCACCCTGTTGCATAATTAAAATGTTGTATACTAATGATTTTGAAAATAGGCCCTCTGAAGAATGTGCACGGGGAAAAACCCCAAGGACAAGGATTGCAAACAGGAATAAAGAGGGTCAAATGGAGAAACTACAATCAGTCATAGAGATACCAACTTTCAAAACGGGACAAATTATTAACTCCAGGAATAAACATTCTTGTCTCTCTGGCGAGGCCAAAAGTCCAAAAACACCATCTGGCTAATCTCTCTCAGGCAGACTGGGAGATTCTCCAAAGGCATTCTGACGCCTCCCAGTGGACACGGGACGCCAGCACACCCGAAAAGAACATTCGGGAGACGCCCACAAGTGACGTCATCAGACGTCTTGATAAAACTGTTGGTTTGAGTTCTGGGGGAAAAGGTTAGCGCAGGGGAAGAGGAGAGGGACATATTAGTTTTAGGAGCACTTTTTGTTGAATATTCTGTATCTGATTGTAAAGATAATTAAATGCAGATGTTAAACTTGGAGATCTTTGTCTTACTCTTGCATCAACTTTGTACACGTCCAGTCAAGGGAATTATTGACTACATTTGGTGACCCGAGACGTGATGGTGCAGAAGAAAGACAGAGATGAGCTCAAATATAGACTGGGTCCGTGGGCCGGGAGAATTCTCTCTTCTCTTCTCTCTTCTCTTCGAAAGAGGTAAGCGGATCGTTACTTTTGAAAATCTGCACATTGTTTTAAATGGAAGAGAGAGAGAGAATTCGGCTCGACGGACTGCAGCGTGGCCAGACGACCGCCGTGATGGGTGTTCCATCGGACGCGATAGAACAATAGTCAGGTTTAGACGTTTTAACCTTGGGGGAAGCATGGGTCCCTCCAAAAAAAAACAGAACAGATGATGAAAAGAGCCACAGGGGTATAAGTGCAAAAGAGGCACAACTGTTTAGATAAATAGGATTAGAGAAATAGGGATAGTTAGGGTCAGAAGTTATAGGATAATAAAAACTCCATATCCCCCGGGGGCGGGGAAAAGGGCACAATTAATTTAAACAGAAGAAAAGCCAAGTAT